TTTACGAAAATGACATTAAATTATAATCTGAAAGTGAGGATTTTTTTAGACTGTGGAACCTGCAGTAGTACCCACTGTTGGAGAGACTTACCTGTTACAATTCAAATATAGAGGGATAATCAATTCATACGAACTTGGCGGTCTCTTCTATACGTATTACGACGATATTCAACAAACTAGACAGTGAGTTGAGTTATTCATAGCAAAAAGTACGTCAACTGATTTATTGGAATGCGCGAAGAAAAATGTGATTTTGCAGTTGGATGGTAGCAACGCATATGGAGACCGGTGTTCATGCACGATCGCTGTTTCCGTGCTTGGATGAACCAGCCTACAAGGCCATATTCCACATGACTATTATCTATCCGAAACCTTTAATCGCTTTATCGAATATGATGGAACGACCATACGTCGAGCTACAGTTTGTCTTCTTGACGAATTTCGATCACTTGCCATCTGAACAATTCAGTTGAATTAGTTGTATCATGATAGGATATCTATATCTTAAGTTCTAAGCTTGAACGAGATCTCGGGCATTGCTATCACAGCTAATGAACTTTTATCAAGCCTGAATCTATTTTTGAAGTGTGTTTCGTTAGCTAAGCAACAAAAGTGCGAAGAAAGTCCCATTGGGCTTCGATAGGAAGCAAGTGACAAACGTTTACCTCATAATATAACTAACAGTGAAATGTAATTGCATGGTTTCAGTGATCCATGGGTTGTTGTTCGATTTCCACCCACACCAAAACTCTCGACATATTTAGTGGCCATGGCTGTTGGACCATACGTGAGCAAAAGCATAACAAACAAAGCTGGAACTCTGGTCAGATTTGTTTGATTCCCTCGAAAACTCTGTTTGGGTTATTGGGAAATTCTGATTGGAACCACTCTGAAAATTTTGATGAAATGATTAAATACACTCCAATTGTGGGCAAAGCAATGATCGTTTGGTAGATATTTCATCATAGATGAGTAGTTTGTGTACTTTCGATGTGATGTGGTGAGATATGTGATATCTAAACAGTTGCCTCATGAACAAAAGGGCTAAATTGCGTGACGATGCCAGTCGATCACGTAATCACACTTCTAACCATTAGGTGTAGGCTTAGATGGAACTAAAAATTAAACACACCCTTCATCAAGGTCAGACCTGACATTTTGAATGTATAAGTTGGTGAAGAAGCAAAAGATTGTTTGAATCCTTATGCATGAGAGGCAGCTGCATTTTCTTGATATGTTCACTAGCAGCTTGACGTGAAAATTAGGTTTCCGCGTTTATTTTGTCTTATATTATCGAAACACAAAGTATTCATATTATACAAACACAAAAGGGAGATCCTCCATGTGAGATATAATACGAAAGTTACATTTCATCATCCGAATCGATAGTGCATGATATCCGTGTACCTCTTATACATATGCAGCTAACGTACAGATTTAAAGGTTGAATTTATGTAACACTTTATTTTTCCCTTACGAATCGTCTCCTTCTATTAGGTGTAGCAATGAGGAAACGCGAATCACAAGGCAATTATTTTAGGTGCGGAGTTGGGGTTGGACGGGACAGGAGGAATATTTGGGATTTGCGGCGACGGTTGCCGGCAAATGCCTTGATTCACTCGGCGAATATGTCAATTTTCCTTTCCCACTGTCAAAATCAGGTGCATAAACATTCACGTTAAACCTTAACATGCAAATTTGCGGAATGCTAGAGCAATGCTCGTCAAAAATGATCATGCGACTGTAGAATAGTCTGATCGTAACTTGCAGATCAGCTCGGACTACCTAAATTCCCGGCTGGAGCTGTCGAAAATATGGGACTTGTCATATACAAATACCAGTACATTCAATTCAATGAACAGGCGAGACACTTACTATTATCCACAGACTTTTTCTTCAAAAATTTTTGATTTTTCCTTAAGGCCAAATCTCTCAATTATTTAGACCTGGTCTCAATCTTGAACGAAGGAGACGGATTTGTTACCGTCAGTATCAAATCATAGACAGAACCATCGTTTCGTGATTCCATGAGAGAATTTCATTTAAGTGACACTTAACTAGCCATAACTTAAATACTATCACATTATGAATTATTCTGTTGAAGCCAACTTAGAACGGTCTTGAACTCAACTATATGATCATGCAACTTTTCTTAATGATGTACGCACTTGTTTGTAAGAGATGACCAATTTAAGCTTCAATCAATCCAAGTGAAACAAAAGGCAGCTGGCGTGATTTGCCATGAGCTTGCGCATCAGTGGTTTGGTGATTTGGTGACGATGACGTGGTGGCCTGAGCTGGTGGTTAACGAGGGCTTCGCGAACTACTTCGAGATCTACAATCAAGCCATGGCATTCCCAGAGCATGCTCAATTCTTGGTTGGTAACTGAACAATCGCCTTTTCCTCCACTTGTTCTCTCTGGCCTCATTGACTTCCTGAGAGTAGTACGGACAATCTATTCCTAAAACTTTCGACTGTGACCATGGAAGAGTGTTTGAAAGCTTGAATTTCCCTCATCAACAGCTATGAATGCGATGGTACTTTAAGGACGGAAAGTTCTTCACGGACATGATGGAGCCAGCACTGGACACAGACGCAATAATCAATGCGTCACACCCAATAATTGCTCGTGGCCTCAATTTTGACAGTAAGTAAATGCGTGAACATATTACTGCACAACGACAGACAACCGAAAATATGACAAAGAAAAGCACCGAAAGCCGAAAAATAATAACCACAATAATAATGACAGCAAACTCAGTACAGCTCTCAGTTCTATTGACGAAAAACAATCTGCATGGAGTCAAATTTTGTGAATGTGTCTTCACAGATTCTTAAACTTAAAGTATTGACGTTCATATTTTGACTCTATCCAGGGATTACAGAGTTGCAATCGAGTTTATCTTCAAGAATCGGCGTAATGTGCTAGCATTTAGATCGCTTATCATGAAAACTAAAGTCAAAGTATTTAACTTTGCAGAGATTGTCTATGATAAAGGCGCGTCCATTTACCGAATGGCTCACATAACACTCGGGGATAAGGCTTGGCAAGAGGGATTAACTGATTACATCCATTCATATAAGTGGGGCAATGCTAATCATGAAATGCTGTTCGCAAAACTTACGAAAGTATCGATTGTTCTTATTGTTTGCTTGATCAATTCTTTGTTCAGTTTTGATCGACGATTTCATTTACATATAATCCCAATATAAGGGAACACAGGCGATAATGATGACGGCTAGCAGATAAATGCTTGAAGGATAGAACTGTAGAATAACTTAAACATCAACTCGAACTTAAAATATGCATTCATCACTCATTTGCTCATTCTGAGCACGACTTCCATTCTATGAAGATCGGATTTCAATTTGAGAGACTTCGAATCAGTAAAAAATAATACAACAAAATGAATCAGCATAACTCTAGGCTGCTCAAGCATATAATATTGTCGATTGGTGTGGAAGACCGATGGACGTGGCGAAATTCCTTGATCCGTGGTTCTTGCAACAGGTAAATGCTGAAGATTGATCTTGAGTGCGAACCTATTAAGTTTACTGATTCTGATGAAGATTCAACTCCCATTTCCATCTCAGTGTTTTTCCATCTATCAATTAAGAACTACTGTTTAGTGTTTCCCATTGATCACTGTGACGAACAATCAACTAATGGCACCGGCGCAGTTCACTCAACAACCTTTTGATAAGCGAACTTTGTTGCCAGCTAGTAACTTTAGCTACAGCTGGCCTGTTCCGATGCATATTCGGGACTATAAGGGCGACCACAAATCAATTTTGCATTGGCTGAAGCCAAGTTAGTGTTTTTGATAATTTATGTACTGATTCATTCATGCCTCGCGATTCCTCCCTTCATTTTTCACATGTGGAATGAGGGTGAGCACCTCTTAGATGATCGCATGAAATGGAATTGAAAAATCATAATCAAACGAACTAAACAACTCTCCAATGGTGATTATACAGTGTAATGAATAAACTCATCAGTGCCACTGTTATCGCTGTGTTAAAATCTTTATTACTTCCTCAGGCTACGACCAGTGCGGTGGAGCATCTCGAGCGGTTAATGGAACACATGCACTCCTTCCACATCAAAAACAACAACAAGCAGCACCCTCTAATAAAGCGTACTCCTCACCAAACCAATTCGCCGTCCATTGGGAACTCGNCCTATTAAGTTTACTGATTCTGATGAAGATTCAACTCCCATTTCCATCTCAGTGTTTTTCCATCTATCAATTAAGAACTACTGTTTAGTGTTT